TGGATATTTAGACGCTGGCCTGTTCTTGGCTCGCGCTCTCTTTAGTGTCTCTCGCCAGCGGCTAACAGTGGGCTGCAGGAAGAGCTTTCATTCACGCCGCTGAGAAACACAGGGTTGTGAGGAATACGGATGGGGGACGGGAAGGCTGTGGGATTCGTTGGGCAGAGCAGGAGTGCATCTTAGCAACTGTTGGAGCTGATTTAAGAAGAGCTGCAGACACATTCAGGCTTTTACGGTGTGGATCAGATCCTCCTGTGAGGCTCATATACTAACTTTAACCTGACGAGGCCCGCTGTATCGCCTCTGAATGACCTAGCATTGCTGTCAAACCTGTTTCACACTCGATCTACTGCATACATTCTGTCTCTGATTGAGAGTTTAAATCAAAGCTCTTTTAGTGTAACTGCTTCAGCTGGAGCTTCTCGTGTCAGATCTTGACTGCTTTTGATCAAGTAAAGGTCAGAATAACGTCAGTAATATCTCCAGATGAACACTTACTGCACTGAAGCAGCTCAGCTTTACTTGATTCTCCATCAATCATGTTTTAGAGTCTCAAATCTGATCCTCAGGATCTTTTGAGGAGCGTTTGTTTCCAGAAGCTTTACTTTCACTGTTCCTCAGCGGAGGAATGATCTTCACAAGCCTCCAGAACATCTCACATCTTCTGAGGAGCCTTTATTTCTTCAGCGCTCAATCACTGCATTATATGTTTGGAGCATTTCAATCTCATCTTACTGAGACATGTTACTGGAGATATAGAGCGACGACTGATATTTAGATCATTTTATGTCAGTATCTGCTGCACTGTCAGAAAGATCTCACTGATTTACATTACAAGCAGCAGAATCTCATCATAGAAATATCAGCAGCAAATTGCTCAGTTTCAGTCTCTGAATAAAATCTAGTAGTTTTTTCCTCCATATTCTCACTATATTAGACTATATGAGCCATAAAAGCCTGATGAATCAGATATGATACTCAACATAAAACATATGCAAACTTCTTTTTAGATTTTTATTAAGATATTTTGTTTAAAGGCACAATAACCTGTTAGATTAAAAAAAACAGTTTCATTTTACATTTCAGCTTTGGTATTTTGGTGCCATATTTGATTCTGCTTAACTGCTCATCAGTGAAACCAAAAAAAAATTCTGCATAATAACTCTCTGAAATTAAGCATCTTGAAATTTTAAGTGCATAAAGATAAAGATAAGATGGTGTTAATCATGGAATATTTTTGTGTTTGCACGAGTCAGTCCGCTCTGAATGTTGAACTGCTGACTTTCACTCAGTACTCTCATATGTAATGCTTTGGAAATAACTCATCACTCACTAATTCTGTTGTTCAAGAACAGAGCCCTTAAGTCGTTTGGTTTTAAGGTTGTCTGGCGTTTCTCTCCGTTAGTGTTGTCCTGATCAAAGCTGCTGTCCTCATGTGAGGAGGATTGATGGCGTCACCTGACAGGAGCAGTCAGTCATCTCTGCACTGTTTCTCTGCTGTTGTTATCGCTCCTGTCGACTGGAAGCATGTTCTGCTCCCCGTCTGCAGGCATGTGAAGTATGTACTCAGAGGCTCAGATCATGTGTTATTAGGTCAGAACGGTGTTTTAGTGTTTCAGCTGTAGTGAGGTCATATGAATGCTGAGATGGTGAGGATCGTGTTAGTACAGGCTCCTCGTGATGAGTTATGTTGGTAGATTCAGCAGTCAGGAGCTGTATGAGAAGATCACACGAGGCTGCTGTTGAATCATAACGAGTAATATTATCAGCATGTTCATGCTGTTCTTGATTGTGTGTCACGGTCTCTACAGTCGAGTCGACACACACTCACTCTGTGTGCTACGTAACTGCGTTACGCTCTGGCGTGTGTGTGTGTGTGAGAGAGAGAGTGTGTGTGTGTGTGTG